AATTTACAAATACTTTCTTAAAACATGTTAATGAAATGTTGTAAAACTTTCAATATTCTTCATGAAATTTCTTTTCACTGACACAGTACATTCAACTCTACATCCAGACACAATAAACACTCTAGACCACAGTTTCCCAAACTTTTTAACTTACCACAAAATTTTTTTTTTTAAATACATATTTTCATTTTTCATTATATTAACATAAAAATATCACAAAGAAAAAGAAATATGTATAATGTAGTGTAGTTTAGGCAGAAGATAATTCAGGTTTTTGTTTCAAATGATAGGGATCATCCTCGATTATTTTTGGTAAGTATAATTATTACTTGGCGGCAGTGATAGGTATGGTGGTAGCACTTCTCTGGACGGATTCTCACCTGGAGTTCTTAGGAGAGAGACTTAAGAAGTGACAAGGAAAAATGCAACGACGAAAACAAAATTCACGGGAAATTCAGTTTATGTAATGACGTTAGTATTCATAATCGATTAGTTCATACTGGTTCTGTAACACCTCTTTAGAAAGATAAAATGCCATTTTTACACATTTAGAATTTCCGCTATTTGGTTCAATGAAATGACGGTAAGTACTTAGTAACAATTTGAAAACGACAAAATTGAAGCATTATCTAAAACGGCACTACACTCATTTTATAACAAAATAGATTTCGGTCAGGGTCGCATTGTCGCTCAATTACACAAAATTTTTGAAAATGGTAGTCTAAATTGAACTGAGTTAATTTATCTATGTGTCAATATGCGAATAAAGGTACCTTGTGGTCGATTATATGAAACATGTATGTTGTACATAACGTGCATACAATTTGTGCGAGAATTGTACCTATTTCTGCCGCCAAGCAGTAATATGAACAATACTGTGTTCGATGACGAATTCACGATATTTACTTAGTTTTTAAAAAGAAAGCGACTATACTGCAGCGGTATAAAGTTATAAAAAAATCATTACGATAAACAGAAACTTTAAACTTTAAATAAAACTTAATGATAATACGAAACACCATCATAATGTTATAGCGGACTGAACTCAAGTTTGCGGAATTCCGCGAGCTGTTGGCATACGTGGCACGCAAACTAAGCACTTTACTGTATTTAGTATTTTTCTGTGTTGGCAACGTATCTCAAGTGTTTAAAGTGGCTAACCCTTCTAAGTGTGATCCTTTGGATTAATAACGGATACTTGTAGGACACTTTACTAGCGGCTCCAAAGACCATAATAAACTCAGACTTTTTGATATTATTAACTAGACTTTGCTAGATCATGATTGATCAGAATAGGTAGAGTTTTTTCGAGGAACAGAGTCAGAAAGTGGCTTTGCGACAACATTTTATCGATCCTGGATGTTTTCGGGATTAAAGAAATCTGCTAAGTAAAAATTGACGTAATTTGGATTAGGCAGGTAGACTATATTTAACTTAACTTGGCGATGTTTAGTTGCAACACCAATTTTTCCAAATATTTATGAAATTTTTGTCAAAATATTCTAATTTCATTAATATAATTAGAATTATTGTGTAGATGTATATTTCAAACGTACTGTTGATTTATGGACATTTCTTCGGGATCCTAAAGCTATCGCCTCAACTCTGTAGTTCTAAGCACCAACGTCTCATCGTCATCAAACGTATGTTTTAACTTTCTAACTCGACTTAAATGTTAAAATTAGAAAGAAGAACAAAGAGAATTAAACAATGGCCTCTAACAACTACACTGAGATTATTTACTCGCTGTGGACTCGGTCAGAAATAATCTGATATATAATAATTAATAATTGCCTGATAAAATTAGGAATAATTCAAAGATTATAGCATAAACATTTGACAAGTAAAATTGTTGTGTTCGAACTAAGAGGAAACCTATGTTCAACAATTGGATTAATTACGTTTTTGTAAATCTCGTAATCCGTGGTTACGCCATACTCGGTTTGACTTTGCGTCTTTTGTCTTTACAATAGGCTTTGTCTTTACAATATTTAATTCGGAATCGAAGCCTCGCTTTTTCCACAAAAGTATCTTAGGACGTCATAAATATAGATCAGGGGGTACCGCCTTCACGGTTGCCTCTGTAAAAACATTTTACTGACAAAATAGAAGAATTTCGAACTCAAATGGCCTAACTCTTTCTCCTTGAATTAGATCAACTTACAATTAGACAAAATTATTCATTGAGAATTGAACTTCAATTACTTCACATATAGTTTAAATTTGCAATATCGAAAAACGACATTTATACTTCATTTAAAATGTAGAAGGGAAGCTCCGACTACATTAGCAGTCTGCTTGCTGATACAGCTGCCTGTACACAGGGTTGGGTAATATTGGAATTACTTGTAACTGAAAACGTATTTAAAATACAAATTGATATAAATATACGTGTTTAGTATTTTCTGAATTTTTATTTCAATTGCATCTTAAAATGTATTTTGTAATAGGTATTTCACTTTTTTAGAATTATTTATGATACCGAGTGAAAGGCGGAACAAGTCGTGTGCCTAGTGGTAAGCAACACGCTTGTCCAAAACAGTAATGTATTTTGTAATTGACATTTCAAATACTTTCGTGGCGACCGGTTATTGGTAATTATTTCAGTTTGTATTTGAAGTAGATGAGGTCACAATACCGTACATAATTTATATTTCACATTTTATGTAGATAGATAATTCGTTTATATGCTGAATCACAGTACATTACAAACATGCTTGTGACGTAACAATACCGGGTGGAAATTTGTAATGCCACCTGGAGAGAAAGTACTCTAAATACTGGAGATAGAAAATTTTACTTAAAGGAAACACTCCTTTATTTTTTAAAAGAAATTAAACTGCATTCATAGATTTTCGAAAATTTCTAGCAACACGCGGGAATCGAACCTCCTTTAATCTGAAAAAAATGCACCCTGCACTTTTATTGCATCGATCGATAGGGTTAATTATAAGAATAAAATCCCTCTCACAAAATTGGTTAATCAAACGAAAAAAAAACCATGAAATCTTAACGTATTTTAATAAAACGAAAAAAATGGTAATCTAACTATAAGTTGCTCGAAATGAGCTCCATTTTGTTGGATACACAAATTCAATCTTTTAACGAATTTATTTTGAGTATCTTTTAATAACGTGTTGTGATGAATTGTGTTACAAATCGTATTCTGAACCTCAGCCTTCAACTCGTTTACACTCGCATAGGATTTAAGGTAAATTTGGTTTTTAACATATCCCCACAAAAAAATCTAAAGGGGTGAGATCCGGTGATCGCGCAGACTATCTGATTGTGCCGTTCGTACCAATCCAGGTATTAAAATGGTTACTAATGTAGGCAGTAGTAACTCTGCTGTTATGGGCTGGAGCGCCATCTTGCTGCAGAATTATTCGATTTCGCTCTTCCTCGGACAAAACATTTAACTCATTTCTTAAGAGATGCAGTATTTCAAGATACTTGATAGTGTTCAAATGACCTTCGTACACGTGGACTAACACAACCATATTTCTCATAATTCCGCACCAAACGTGCGAGAATCTTACTTGATTGTTAGTTTCATGAACACGATAGATTGCCGCATCTCCTATTGTCGTCACGATCTAGTGGGAACAGCTAATCACGACAGTCGTTCAACGATAGAAATTCGTCCACGACAGATAGTCGTGATATGGAAACAGGCTAGACACGACAGTCGTCCAACGATAATAAAACGTGACGACAAAGTGGGAACGCGCCCTTAGGTTTCTAAATCTCGGGAGGTGATCCGCGGTTAAATCCCGTATAAATCAGAAACTTTACATTCAAGGAAAAATAAACGGTGTATCGTCCGCAAAGGGTTACATTTACAATACCGAAAGTGACGTTATGTATTTGCGTCATCCAACTAGTCACGAGGTCAATAATTACTCATAACATACTTATATACATACAAATAAGGAGCTCGTTTTGCTGACCCATTATCAAACTTGTGAGTCTGTGGTTTATTATAGAGGATTAAACAAGTTTTCTTAAAAAATGCAATAACTTGCGGAACTTTTTACAGCTGACTTTTCTGTCCATTATAAGCAGATACCTTGCTTGATTTGTTTTAAAAGTTGCAATTAAAAAAAATTAAAGCATAGTGCAAATGTGACAATGTCTAAAAAATGCACGATTTTTTAAGTAGTGATTAAATTGTGTGGAAACAAAATATTATTAACAAACAAACCGATATTTCGGGCCCTTTGCAGGTCCCATGGTTACGGTTGACCATGAGACGAGTCAACCGTGACCATGGGACCTGTAAAGGGCCCGAAACGTCGGTTTGTTTGAAAAAACAAATATACGCGATTTAAATCCGGGAAAATAGTTTCATTTCCTATGTGTAACTATATTATTATATAAACTGCCTCTGTGGATCAATAGTTACCATGACGGTTTTGGTAGTAGTTTACCTCTGCGTGCAGAAGTCTCGCATTCTTTTCCCGGGCCGGAGGAAATATTTATATGGCCTACATTTATTTCTTTCGCCCATGGCATCCTCGATTTAGGGTTTCCCAAGTGTGGTGCTGCATAAATGTGCGCGTTATTTTTAGTATAATTTTTATATTTTATTTATAATGAATATCGAAATCCACTTACAAGTCGGCAATGTTGAATTTCCGGTAAGTAGGTTCCCAAATTCGAATTTCCCTTTTTTTGTTCACAGCAATCTTACCGTGTCAGTAAACCCGCTGCTTGTCACATCAGAGGTTGTCCTCCTTCCTTTTAATAATTACACGAACGCATTTAAAACCATGTCCAGAGTAATTTGAACCATCTATTCATCTACCGTACTAAAGTAATGAAGAATATTGAGAGGTCCAATTGTACTGGGAAGGTAACAAGGTCCTGCCATTGCGCATGGTATGAAGGCATGAATTCGCAAACCTGCAGTGTTGTGTCGGCCGCCAAAAGAGTCGTACGTCCAAGCGACGATCGATGTGTGTGGTGTTCGTATCGTAAATTTGTAAGATAGATTGCGCGCGCGCCGCTTTGCGCAATTCGGTACATTCGAAAGTGATGTGCTTGTGCCACAAAGGGCTTATTCTCGAGTGAAGGGATTCTGCCAAGTAAGTCAGTGACAATTGCGTAATACAATCTGCCTACAATGTTGCTTTTGCAGTTTACTAACATTAATCAATGCGATAATTTGGATACTGTCACCATCAAAATAAGAGTAAAATCATTCACCAAAATAAGTATATTTACAGGAAAAAGGACGTAGAATAAAGAATTGTAAAAAAAGAAATTATCGAAAATTTGCCTTGATGGATTTATTCCAATGCCACAATGCCAATAAACAAAAAAATACCGCAAATCTTGTTAAGTACTAAAAGTAGTAAATATTAATGAAGAGGTAAATATTGTTTTCAAATTTATTACTTAAATAATTTTAAAGTTTGAATTCTGTTATGAACCGGAACTTTTGACGTTGTGTTAAGAAATTTTGCGAAACAACAATCACTTCTTTGTAAATTGTTATTTGGGCACTGTTTGTATAATCGCAGTTTGCTTGTGTGGGTTGGTAATATTATAACCAATTAGGGGGTAGGGTGTACGCTTATTCGAACTTCGAATGAGGATGATTCCTTATTTCGAATTCGGTCATTAGTATAAAGTACAAAAAAAACCGACCCCAAAAGTTCCTGGAATTACATATATTTAACCTGAACCTATTTACTTCAAAATCGTTCAGCGAGCTATAGAACGAGCTATACTCAGAGTTTCTCCGGAGAATAATACTCGAAATGAGGTTATCTGACAGAAAACCTAGGTAGTCGACATAGATGGTAGAATAAGCAAGCTGAAGTGTCACTGGGCCGGTCATAACTGTCGTAGAACCGATAACCGATGGGGGAAGCGAGTTCTTTAGTGGAGACTACGGCTCAGCGAGCTTAGCGAAGTACGTTCTCTGGCCAGATGCAGTGACGATCTGCAAAAGGTTGCTGGCAGCAGCAGATAGATGCGACAAGCTGAGGACCGGGTTAAATGGCGCACATTGGGATAATCTTGTGGACTGTGACAGGCATGGCGAAGGAAAACATCGTTATGAACCCTGCACGTCGAATGAGATGATGAGGTGTGGATATAACATGTTAAAATCATCACCCACCATTACGTCCCAATGCTCGGCACGGATCTCCTCTAAGATCAGCAGTAGTAGAGCTCCTTGTGAAAGAGTTCGTCCAAGGTAGTACTGCCACCTTACCTACTTCTGCCGCCAAGCAGTAATGTGAGCATTACTGCGTTCCTGTTTTGAAAGGGTAAGGGCGCTGGTGAAATTATGGGCACATGGGACTTGTCAACTTATGTCTTAGGGTGACGGGCGCATTGGTAGTGACCAGGTCAGATCGTTGCGATTTAAGCTCTGAGTGGCACTGCAAGTGTTATGTTCAGGCGTGTCGCTTACCAGGAACACGACTTGTTCATCCCGTCACTTGCTATCATAAAAAGAAACAAAAACCTGATTCTAATAACAACGTCGCGGTCCATTCCCGACCGGAACATCACAAACTACTACAGGTCTATTCCGATTGCATTAAAAGGATTGTCTTGGATGATCTCAGTGCGCAATAAAGAATATTTGTATTGTAATTAAGGTAGAAATTTTCAAAAATAACCATAATTAAATTTCTTAATATGGATACTGAGTAGTGAGTATCATACTCTCTCTTATCGTTGTAGTAATTTTATATGAACACTGAAAAAAAGTTTTTTGAAATAAACACGTTATTGTTTAAGCCCATAATATACCTTGTTTCCATCAGAGCCTATCACAATTATCGCAGCAAGAATTTTAAGTAATGAATTTAATCATATTGTGACTGATTAAATTACCGATTCGCCAAACTAGCTAAAAATGCTCTTGATTGAAATTCCTTTTTTTTCTCTTTACCGTGAAATCCGAAGATAACTTGATTGGCTTTAGTCGTAACACCGTGGTTGACGCTCTCTCAAGTGACTTTATTCTCGGTTTTTAACGGCTTTTTTGGAGTAATGCCATCTATGAGAAATCTATGAAATTATCTTAATTGACTTTATTCTGTATAATTACATTAATTGTAATTTAGCCATAATAAACTCTTGTTATATCTGATTAAAATAATCTCAGCACAGAGTACTAAAAAAACCGACCTCAAAAGTCATTCATCCACCACTCTTAGAGGTGGAATATATTCTTCAAAATAAAATGGGACCTACTCTACTGAGGTACCTTCTTTCCAGAAAAATAATCATCAAAATCGGATCACAAATTGCCGAAGTTATCGCGCAACATGCATACAAAAATAAAACATACAGTCGAAATGTGAACCTCCTTTTTTTTTTGAGACTGTTAAAAATAAACAAGAGATTGTAAGGGTGCGTACAGATCTGGCGAAGGCGCCGCAAACACGCCTGTTTGCGGAAGGCTCGCGAGCTTCGCACATGCATTATGTATTACGACTTGTTCGCGTGCCTTGCGCACCGCTCGCGCTTTTCATATATGTATACTAACATGTATTTCATCGCACATGCAGCGTGTTCGCGACACATGCATCAGATATGTACGCAGAAACTCTGTGGGCAGTTAATTACAACTTATGTTTGGGTATTGATTACAATGAATTATTATGATATTTTACTACCTTAACATTCATTTATTTTTTGTGATTTTACTCCATTTCTACTCCACTGATGCAGGTTCGTGTCGTGTCAGATCGAAGTATTTTTTCTTTGTGTTCGATGTATATTGTGTATTGTGTGTGTAATCTATATTGTGTTCTATTTAGTTTAATTGATATAAAAAAAATCATTGGTATATATCGCACTGCTGTCACAATAGAGTTATAATTCAAAATTTGTGAAATTCAAGATTATACCATTTCTGAATGTAAAATTTGATTCTCTACACGTCAATAAAAATGTCGTTAGAATATTGTAAAAAACAACTAAAATATATCTAATTAATTACTTAACTCAAAATGCGACACGCTTTATGTGAGCTAGCTCTGGCCAAAATTATCCTTATACAAAAATATGAAATTGTTTTTTCTTTTTTCTTTTTAAATATGTATATTTGGTAAGTAGGAAATAACTTATATATAAATTTACACAGATCTTTCAATCGAAGCGAGTAATTTGTTTTTCGATCGATTCTGAGAAAATACACTTTTTGAGTTAATGCACTATTGTATTAACAGTGCGATATGTAAAGTACGTATTAAATACAGCGTTTCATAAATAATAAATATGTTTTCCAAGGTGATTGATTAACTTTGACTGTTATGCAGAATCAACCAAAGCCATTTGAGGCTGTATCATTCTTTATAATTCAATTTCGCTAAACGTTCCAACGTTAGTTTTGATAAGGAGTATATTAATCTTGAATTACTTGATTATTTTTTCTATTAAGTAATTAACTCAGTGGTCCCTTTTGGGAGATGAAGTCAGATTTTCAGAAGAATAGCAATCCAGAAGTCCTTGGCGGGTGCACCAGCGCGTAAAGAACTGCGTAGGTGCACAATCCAGTTTTTGCGTTCCAATTACAATTTTCGTAAATACACATACGGCACATTCAACGAAACTAAATTGTAAAAAAATAGAAAGTGAGAATATAAAACAGTAACGTCTGTATTGAAAGAAATAAGTATTAGGTATAAAGTACTAATTAAATTAGCATATTTTAACATCGACTTAGGTTTTACTTACTCAAAATTTTTGAAAAGAAAACGAGGTTAAATAGAAGTAAAAAACATTGGAAATTGTATCAGTTTAATATTGTTTTATTAAAAAAAATTGACCTCAAACCCCTTCGCTACAATTGGTCTACTTTCCCGACCGGTCCACTTTTACTATTCGTCTGAATTACATCTATTTGCCAAGTTTTCTTGTAATCACTTACCGGAAAGTGCGCGGAACCGGATTCATCCCTAGTATGCCACCCTTAGATGTGACATATTTACTTCAAATTTAAATGGGACTAATACTGAGGTATCCTCTTTCCAATTAAAAAGAATCATCAAAATCGGTTCCAAAACGCCGGATACTTACAAAAAAATACAGTCAAATTGAGAACCTCCTCATTTTTCTTGATGTCGGCTAATACAAACTTTTTCAAGTAAAGTTTACGAAATTTACAAAGAAACAAAGTCAACCTCAAACCTCTCGATAAATCTGTATCAGTAGGAAATTATAGCTAATAAATTCACGAAATGACAGTAGATTATTTTTTTTATTTTCAAATTATAGTCGTCACCAAATAAGAGGCCAAATTTGGCACTTGTCCTCGTGACGCGATTAGGGATGTGGACTAATCATATCGGTAATCACATTATACGATTTTCAAGAGAAACCGATTCAAAATTTTAAGAGTTTGTGATTGTTTAGATTATTATTCGGTTCATTGTTGTGAAATACAAATCTGGCTATGAGTACGGGGCTCTTTTGGATTTGATAAATTATAAATTTATTTTTGGTCAGAGATCTAATATACATAATTATTTAAAATACACCTATTTTTAGTTACATTTTTGTTTTAATATTTAAAAAGCCAATATTTTTTTCCGAGAAACCGAAGTAACTCGGTGAAATTCGGCGATGAATTACTTACAACACTATTATTTAAAAAAATAGCTTGAGGATGTAACTGTTTTCAGGACGTTTTGGAGTAACTCAAAATTGCATTTTATTTTGGAATTCGTGCGAAAATAGTACTTCAAATATGTTTTGTCATATTATGTAATGTTTCAATAAAATTTATGTTTATTTTAAATTCAATTACGCTAATAAAAAAAGCCACGATAAAAACGTGACGACAGATTGTCGCAGCTCCTATTGTCGTCACGATCTAGTGGGAACAGCTAGTCACGACAGTCGTTCAACGATAAAAAATCGTCCACGACAGATAGTCGTGATATGGGAACAGGCTAGACACGACCGTCGTCCAACGATAATAAAACGTGACGACATAGTGGGAACGCGTCCTAAGGGCGCTGGTGAAATTACAGGCACATGGGACTTGTCAACTTATGTCTCAGGGTCGTATTCTAGAACTCTATTCAATGCTCAAGTCAGGATTGCACTGGCAACA